AGTTTGAATTTGACTAAAACAGATATCTTACTTGTCGGGCCCCCAACTGTAACAAAAAACATAACAAATGCCCCTAGATTTGACCTCGAAGCCACATCAATTATCCCATCTGCCACAGTTAAAAACTTAGGTATCATTCTCGACTCTTCTCTAAATCTAGATGCTTATATTAGTAAGCTCTCCAAAGTTGCATTTTTTCAACTTCGCCGTATTGCCAAACTCCGTTCCTTCATCAGTCCAAAAGATGCTGAATTACTAGTAAATGCTTTAATCACATCTCGCCTTGATTACTGCAACGCTCTTTTTTTTTTTTCCGGATTACCAGTAGGCTCCATCTCTCGATTGCAATATATTCAAAATTCTGCAGCGAGAATGCTAACTTACACTAAACGGTCTGCACATATCACTCCTATTCTATTCAACCTCCACTGGCTACCTGTGTCCTCTCGTATCATTTATAAAATTCTTCTGCTTACCTTTAAGTCACTCCATGGTCTTGCACCTACCTATCTCTCTGACCTGCTTTCTCCATATATTCCCTCTCGTCCACTTCGATCATCTGGAGTTGAACTTCTTTGTGTTCCGAGATTTCGCCTATTATCTATGGGAGGTAGATCTTTCTCTGCTATGGCTCCCAAACTTTGGAACACATTGCCCCTGGCTCTCCGGACAATAACCACACTCCACGAATTTAAGTCTAAACTCAGAACCTATATGTTCCACATATGTTCCACCAATATTACCTGTTATAATGTGTTTGTTTTTTTTTTGTTTTGTTTTTTTTTTTTTTTTTTTTTTTATTTTTTCTCTATGTTGGGGAATACTTTAATTGAAACCAAGCTGGAAAAATGACTCAACTCACAGAGAATGTTCTCAACTTTGTAACCTCAGACAAATGAATGCATCAGCACATAACTATCAACGGTTACACATCAGTGATGCCTATTGGGTGATCACACACATGTATCTTGTTGCTGGAATGCAGTCATCTGATTTGATTATGAAATAAGTTATTATTATTATTTAAAACGTTACTTCCCTTTTGCCCCTAGACATCTAATTGGGAACGTAACACCACATACATAGATACTTAATAAAATGCATAGAAAAGCAGCTGTCAGCAGTCTTAGTGAGTAGTGATTGATATGTTGATAGTTTGTCTTGCTAATTACAGTATATGATGCAGAACCACCAGCTCTTGGAATGCATTTGAGCTACTTTACAGTATACTGACTAGTGACAAAAAGCGATTCTTGTTTTTTTATATGTGTGGATGCAACTTCACAGTGTACTTACCCCAAAAAAAGTATGGACATAACATGGTTTTAGGCTAAGGTTCTGAGTACCTAGTTATTACACAGTTATTACTATATAAAGTATATACATTGCTGATCATCACTGTGTTGATTAAATTATAAACCGTCTCATAGCTATAAATTTTAAATATATAGCTTCAGTGTTTTGTGCTACACTGGTCAATAAAGTCTAAAGTTGTGGTGTGAGATTTAGCGGGAAAAAGGTCCATTGTCTGTTGTCAATAGTGCAGTAATGTATAAAGCACAGCTCACACAGAAGTCACTTTCAAACTAAGCAGCTTTCTGTTGGTCAACGTAGGGAATTTGTGGTGAACTTGAGCCCCGATGTAAAATCTGCCTGTCGAAATCTTTCGTCCAAATGCGAAATTCTCGATTGTGTGGATTCCTGTTGACATGACTGGATTTTGCCCATGAAAATTCATGGAACAACAGTAAATGTGACCACACGTCAAGTATGCTTATTGTTTCACGTATCAGGGAAACTTGAGCATGACGGTCTTACCTTAAATATTTCTTAAATTGTATGCAATTGACCCCTCGCCGGGAGTTTGATCTGACAATCATAATGTCGAATCTGCCATTTTGTCCAACAAACAAACTGACAGGAGAGTAGATTAACATTGGTGGACGTGAACTTAAAAAATTGTATTTATTGACATCTTTCCGCGGTTGAAACAAGATTCCTTCTGTTCATTCATGTTTATTTTGTGCTATAACTAGTAAAGAGGAAGAGATGATCGGTTCACTTGCCACTTGAACTGAGGCGCTACACCGATCTGTCACCACACATTAAAGAGCCACAAAACGGTATTTATTGTTTGAATTTCTTAGAAAAATGACAAAATGAGAAAGCTGAGACTTTTTTTTTCATACCAAAAGTAACCTGCTCTGTCTTGTCGGTCGGCGCGTTGCCAGTGTCCTCTTTGCTCTGCGATGTATTTTTCACTGCGTGAGAACACGATGTGTGCCGTGAGAGCGCCATGGCCTGTCGGACATAGCAACAGTAACTAGGGGGGCAGGTCTTTGCAAAGGGTCAATTGAAATCAATGTAACATTTATTGATGCATTCAGAAAAGTTGGCTTTTATAAAAAAGATTTCTTGCATCCATTTTAAGTGTTTTTTGTGTCAGTTCATGAAGTCTCATCACTGCTGTAAGTTCATTTGAACATTCATTGGTGCCAATTCTCACTGATGCAGTGATCGCCCCAAACTGATAAAGCAGTCGGCACACATTTCTGTCTGCGGTGGCCTACTTTTATGTTTCAGAATTGATTTTGAATTCCTTTGACATGATTTATAGAGTCTTGACAGGTTCTGCACAGCCAAGCATGGAACAAATGGACTGATTGTAAAAGCCTGGATTGTAAAAAACAAGAAAACGAAGGACTGAATTATGCTGTAAGCAGTTATTGACATAACCGCACAAACTATATTTTGATCTATGGTAATGCAGCAGTATTTTATCATCCCCCAACGCAACAGCCTTTGCAGCGTCAATTACAACACTGTGCAACACCTCCAAAGGTCAGCACTGCCAGTGGTGTGAAGTTAATAGGTTCAATGTGCTACAGACCCTTCCTTGTTTCCTTCTGTGAGCTGGATCTGCTGTCCTGTTTCTGATGAGTCACCCACACTGCAGTGTGTAGGAACAGACCACAGGGTGAGGCACATGTAACAGCAACTGCTTTTGGAAAGAAAAAAAGTTGGAATTTTGTGAAATGTGTTTGTATGAAAGAATATGACAAATAAGATCTCTTTAATACTTCAGTTTATTAGGCAGCAGCAAGACCGCAAATTTACAGAATAATGACAGAAGCTTCAAATTTGACAGAATTCAAGTGATCTTTAAATCTCATTCTAGATTTCTTATATTCAAACACCAAATGCCCAGCTTTGTTCCCCCCAAAAAGGCCTCAGTACTCTACAATAAAAAAAAAAAACAGTACAAAATTTATACTTGAACAAAACACTAATCCATTTAGTCTCCCAAACTAGTAAAGAACAACCTCTGAGTGATACGATGTTCTTCTGTGTCTTTACAGAATGTTTTAAGGTTCAAAGTAGCATGTAGTACATGTGAAATCAAACAGGTGTACATAAACATACAATGATGACGTAAGGGCATACATTCTATAAAAAACCCAGGAGAAGAATTCATTTTACCGCACCATGCGCTCGCGCTGAGGAGAAAGCACAGTGTTGGCCTACATGTTATTTACAACCTGAGTCTCTCATATCTAATTATCAAATAGGAAACTTCATCTTCTGCATCTGTGGGAGGACAGCAGTCTCTTCATGCATCAGAGTGCCGTCTCCCTCCCAGCCTAACCCAATATTGACTCAAATGTGAATTTCAGAGCAAAACAGTGAAACGCTTGACAAGACCACTTTAAATTTCACAGAAACGGCATTTCAAAATCCACAGCAAAACAATCTACAATGTGGAAAAATGTCTTTACTTATAGCTGAGCACTAGCAACTGATGATGGATAGAAAGCAGTTTTTAATCATCAAGTGCAGTTCATAGCTCTATATAAGATTGATGCATTCTCTAATTTATAATGTCCTCAAACTGCTGGTAGTCATAGAGCATTTTAAGGAAGAGATCGATATTATTTGGTTTGTAACTTAAGCATTGCAGTCAATAATGTATTTAAGGGTAAACACATCTGTCAGTTGCGTGAATGTGTGTATTTTCATGTCTGAAACTAGAGGCAGAAGAATCTTTAAAGTGTTTATAAATTATTTTCTATTAAGCGTAGGTTCAGTCTCAAATTAAAATGCAAATTACCTCCAGAATGAAGCAATAATATGGCAGATAAGACCCAATTCAAATATTTTATTGTGAGTGCTTCAAATCCAAACAAAAATATTTCTTTCTTTCAAATAACAAGTATTTTGTGAAGTTAAAATCTTATTGTCTTTATTCCATTCAAATTCTCTTGATTGACACCATTCAGAACTGTTTTTGTAATCTTTCTTTCTGTATAAAAAAAAAAAATATATATATATATATATATATATATATAACAACTATGATGCTTCTATTTCCAGAGAAAGTTCAAACAATAGTTCATCCGAAAATGAAAATTCTGTCATCATTTACTCATCCTAAAATTATGTAGTTTTACACACACACACGCATACACGTACAAAAGATTTTTAGCAGAATGTTCAGGTTGCTCATTTCCATACAGTTAACCATAAATGTTCTGTACTTTAATGCAAAAAAAAAAATAATAATACCTGACAGTAATGTTATAAAATTCTTATTAAGTCTGTGGGATTACAAATTTACGAATCTGTTTTAGATCTGCTGATCCTACATCCTGACAGACCATCACATGAAAAATTAAGGTGAAGTACATTGTATTTAGCATTTACGGTAAATATGATGGCATCAGACAAATGATTCACTCAAGCAAAGTTAGTAGCAAGAAGTTCCTGCCAGTTCCTCTCTGCTCTCCTCCTCTTCATTGTAAGTCAAATGAGCCTGCTTAATGAGTCTCTCACCTTTTGTCTGTAATGGCTCTTGGTGCCTCTGCCCTAGACTTTGAATAGTTATGCTAAATGGATTAGGACTGGTGAAATGCGGCAGGTTACTATACCTGAATACTTCATATACAGTCTTTGTTTAAGGTTGTCTCTCAGATGCTTTGTCTCCATTCCAAAGCACTGTCCCCTAAATGTATATAAACTATAATGTCTCACTGCCTTAGTTAGACTTTTGATGACTGCAGCGCCACGCAGCGCGTTCTTAATAAAGAGTCCTGCTGAAGATATCCAAGAGTCTCCTGGTCTTCGCTCCCGAGTTTACATTGTTAGGAGAGCACATGGACTCAATAGTGACAGAGTCAGTCAGATTGGATTTGATAAAAAAAAGTTGGTATTGATCCAGAGAAAGTATGGTCAATTGAAGAATGTAAAAAGATACTTGGAGCATGTATCAGAAAGAAAAACATAAAAGGCTTTGTCTGCTGCCACAGAGAGTTTAGCAATAGCATATGAACAAACTCAGTGTATCGCTAAGTTAAAAGAACAAAACAAACAGCTGCACACTCGAGTGTGCAACCAAACCAAAAGTGATTTAAACAACCAACAGTCAGATGAAAGTTATCCTGACTTGCATTCTTCATGTAGACAAGAGGACAATTGCAATACTGGAAGGATGGAGAAAGATGTAAATGCATTTGAAGTATGTGGAGCAAGACAAAGGGCTCAGAGTAGGGTAGAAGGGGTTGAAACGGTTCCATCTGCAGCCCCCATACCCCAGTCACAAGCAGTCCATACAGCTCTAGGTCCTGAGGCCATAGAAAGACTTGCTGAGAGTTTGTCATCAATGCATGTAAATTTCTCTCAATTCAGGAGAGAGTTGTCTAAGAAGATGCGGCTCTATGATATGTCTCTAGCTGAAGTCACCCAGCTAATATCCCAAATCTTGACAGAGACCGAATTCAGTGATTTTGAAAGTGCTGTAAATAATTCTGAGTTTCAACATGCCAGCAAAGATGAATTGAGAGAGGGAGTTCTGAGAGAGTTAAAGAACATTGTTGGACCAAAAGTGGACTGGTCAAAGGTCACTAGTTGTGTACAGAAGAAGGATGAAACTGTAAGTGAGTACACTGAAAAGTTTTGTCAAGCAGCTGCAGCATACAGTGGAATAGCTGACACTCCAGAGAAGGTACTGGATCATAAAGGACCACTAGTTCAAACATGGTTTGATGGCCTTTTATCTGAGTACAGATCTGCTTTGCCATTCTTAGATCTTACATGGTCCACTGGAAGCCTGCAAAACAACTTAGACAGGTTAGCTACTTGGGAAAGAGACTCTGATGTTAAAGCCAGAGTAAAGATTGCAGCAGCATCCTTTAAGGTCAACACAGAGAACCGACAGAAATGTAAATGTCCTAACAAGGAGGGCAGTTGTCATTACTGTGGTAAACCTGGACATTGGATGAAGGAGTGTAGGAAAAGCAAAAAGACATTAGGAGAAATTAACAGCTTTACTCAGCTCCTATTCAGCCTACTTACTACTCTGAAATAGCCCCTCCCCACTTCACCGAACTGTTGGAGCAGTTTGCTCAGGTGTTAACTGTTAGGGCTGTGAGTGCTTAATTTCCCCAGTAATGTACAACAAATATGAAAGATTCTTTATAAATAAAACTACTGGAAGGTGACTGTCACTTCCTTCCATTGAGAGAATGCTAGTTAAGTACACTCACAGCCTTCAAAGCTATACTACAGCACACTCCAGTCACTCACCTGTCCTCTGTGGGTTATGATGTTTGCTATGACTGATGTTTCCTTGGAGGATGGAGATGTTGCACAGTAAAGTTCACACGCCAACTACAGGGACAGACTAGGACACACAGACCAGTGAGGAGCCCAGGGAAGAACCGAAGTGCAACAGGCTTCGGGGGCCAACCCTGTGGTGAAGACTTCCTCATAGGATTCCCCTATCAGTAGTTTATGCCCACCTCACTGGTCCATAGGTGTCAAATGACGTAAGACTAGGTAAACAAAACCACTATACGATCACCAGACTTAAAACCACTATACGATCAACAGAAGTTTAAAAAAGTCTATGCATGAATGCTGCTGGTCTGCTGTTTCTTTGTTTTCTTGTGTTGCAGGTATGTGTATATGCCATGTCATTTCATATGCAGCACCCTGGTGTAAAGCATCACCTCAGACATCCATGAACAAGCTTCATGAGGACAAAGTGTCATCTAAGCGACTCTGTGTGGGAAATGGACTACAGAAAACAGACTTCACAGCTATCCAGGCGCCATGGACTTCAGGACTTCCACTCTTGCTACATGGTTTTCTGTGTCATCATGTAGTTTGTATGACATGTTACCATCCTTTGTCGTATATGTGACAACAGTTATGGTTCTGAAAAGAACTATTACACCTAACTAAATCTAGGACAAGACACAGAATAAGTTATATGTGCCTGTAACTTTTTCAAGTTACATGAATGGAAGATGGGGCTTATGTTAACAAACATAGGCTATAGAATGGACTTATGGAGGTTAAATTTGTATTATGTGAGAGTTATTAGAACTCTCAAAGGGGGGATTGTGGGATTACAAATTTAAGAATCTGTCTCAGATCTGCTGATCCTACATCCTGATAGACCATCACATGAAAAATTAAGGTTAAGTACATTGTATTTAGCATTTAAGGTAAATATGATGGCATCAGACAAATTATTCACTCAAGCAAAGTTAGTAGCAAGAAGTTCCTGTCAGTTCCTCTCTGCTCTCCTCCTCTTCATTGTAAGTCAAATGAGCCTGATTACTCAGTCTCTCACCTTTTGTCTGTAATGGCTCTTGGTGCCTCTGCCCTAGACTTTGAATAGTTATGCTAAATGGATTAGGACTGGTGAAATGCGGCAGGTTACTATACCTGAATACTTCATTTACATGCTTTGTTTAAGGTTGTCTCCCAGATGCTTTGTCTCCATTCCTAAGCACTGCCCCCTAAATGTATATACTGTAAACTATAATGTCTCTCTGCCTTAGTTAGACTTTTGATGACTGCAGCGCCATGCAGCGTGTTCTCAATAAAGAGTCCTGCTGAAGATACCCAAGAGTCTCCTGGTCTTCGCTTCAGAGTTTCCAACAGTTTATATGATACTAACACAAATCAGACATAGTGTGTTGTAGCTGGCTATGAAATACATGAGAACCAATGGCCTTCGATACCACTGACATGAAACCTGGCAGATCAGTTCTTGATGCGTCAAGTTTATGCACATGTATTAATGAGATTTGGGGTATGGTAGAGGAAAAGATCTTCCCTCGCAGTCGTACTGTCACTGTGCACACAGCGGGGAGGAGCGAGGAGCCGAGGAGACGTAGAATAACTCAAATAGTCTTTAATAAATGAAAACGGGATATTCCAACATGAAAGCTTGAGCATGAACATAAAGAAACACATAGAACATACATAACAAGTTGATCAGACGAAGGAGAACTGAACAGGCAAGAACTAATATACACTGGATGATTACAAAACACAGGTGCCGGGGATTAATCAATGAAACTAAACAAGGACAGGAAGGTGACCAAATAAGGAAAGACAGGAACCAAACAGGAAACACAAGGAAAACCATAACAAAACAAACTGAACATGTGACATTACTCCCCCCTCCCGAAAGGCGTGTCCCGCGCCGTAACAATTCCACCGGGAAGGGGGGGTGGGCGCCCTGGAGGCTGGTGCAGGACGGGGACAAGGAAGGCTGGATCAGGCAGTTCAGGAGGCCATGGCGGAGCAGGGAGCTCTGAACATGTGACATGTTTGTGCTGTGTGACATTGTGGCTGTGTGTTCTGCAACTTGCTCTGTTGAGTGACTGTTAATGTTGACTTGACTTGATTTGTCAACACTAAGTATACCTTATTGACTTGTAAAAGAATGGCCTTGCTGGTGAGAATGGTCATGGTAAGAAATATCTTATCCAGCTGTAAGAAATGTGTTGTATTGAGAAGGAGAAACCAGATAATGCAATAGCGGTAAATAATACACTATGAATCAATTTTCAATAATTTTGTTTCGCTTCTATTTTTTATGTTTTGTTTTTTTTGTGTGTGAAGTTTGACATGCTGAATACAAAAATCAAATTACTTTTTGTGTATCATTAACAATGCTTATGAAAACTAAAAAATGCATAAAAATGGCATGGTGCATGCATAATACTGAGCTAACAACAACAGTTTAACAAACTTCTGGAATGTCTAAACTATTATATTGCAGATATAGATATTTGAAATAAATTATGTTGCTTGTATAATTGTTGTGATGTCGTGTAATTTTCGGTCACTGTAATCATAATGTGGCATAATTGTCAATATATATATATATATATATATATATATATGCATAAATTAAGAGGTAAACTTTGACTAAATTTGACATGACTTTTGCATAAAAATGGCATGGTGCATGCATAATACTGAGCTAACAACAACAGTTTAACAAACTTCTGGAATGTTCCCATCCTTGCAATATATATATATATATATATATATATATATATGCATAAATTAAGAGGTAAACTTTGACTAAATTTGACATGACTTTACATGTAATAATAAAGGCTTTATAATGTCTAAATGTAAATACAAAAGTAAAACCTGAAAAAAGAAGCATAATAGTGAATAGAATGAGCAAATGAGTGGTCCTCTGCTCTAATTGCAATTTCAGGGATTTTACCATATAAATATAGTGTTTTTGACCTTTATAACTATTATAGTGCAATTTTTTTGCTCGATCTCCATACAATTTTGGATGCTTGTTTAAAATCATATAATGCATGACTTTACACAGTTTTCTGAAGTTTTGAGTTTTCTTTTAGGAATTATAGGCTTCTGGGTACACTCGTTTAAGACAATATTTTTAAATGACCCTCTTATAGCTGTCCAAATGCACAGTGAACTTTTTTTTTTTTTGACAATTATTGACGCGGAGAGTCCAGAGAATTGTACTGTATGTGGTTTTATTGAGGTTGAGTTAAAAACCTAGGACTAATATATATAAATTTAATTGACAGGAGTGGCCCTAGAAGCAAAGTTGTTCAGAATGAGGAGGTCTATCATATGACATGAAGATCAAGTTTATGTGTAACATTGTGTAATATATAATTTTTATTTATTTTTTGCAATTTCAGGTCATTTAACATAGAAATATTGTGTTTTTACCTTTTTAATTGTTATAGCGCCACCTGTGGCCCGATCTACATGAAACTTTGCATGCTTGTTTAGAATCATCTGTCGCATGTGGTCATCTAGTTTTAT